AGAATTCAAAACTCTTCTTTTAAGCTGGGATTTCAGTGATGGCTGAAATGCTCTGCTAAATCTCATGATGCTGTTGCAGTGAAGTGGCACCTCCCCATCTAGCATTCTCCATTTGAAGAGCTTTTTATGTTGTCCTGTGTAGAGATGGTACTGGCTAAGACCAACTAGTTCACTTCTGTGAGTGCTACTTGCTCTGCAGGGTAGCAGTCCTCATTATAGTGGAAGGAAGCTTCTGTTTTTATGCACCTTTGTGTGTGCTGGGCTTTATATAAAATAGAGACAGGAAAAAAGGACTGAACCACTTCTCTTCCCCATTCTTTCTCTAATTCCTTAAGATTAAAGGTGATAGATTTTTGCTGAGCTAGAAGACAGCCCAATAAATTTGCTAGGTGCAAAGGCCTTCCCACCTGGACCACCTGTAGCATAACTTTCCTGCTTTGAGATACATGTTTTGTTGCCAGCATCTCCATTACGATTCTTGACTGTTTGCCTTTTTCTGTCCAGAGACAGCCCAGTGGTGAAAGGAAACTCTATTTTTGCCTTAACTGGTCTTGCAGTTGCTGTAGCCAAATATGAAAGCAGCCTGTCCTCAGACAGTGAAGGGGTGCCTGAGGTGAGTCAATCTGGGAGACATTCTCTACTCTTAGTGGAATATAATGAAGTAATGTGACCGGGTGTTTGGGGGCTGTTAAGTGGATGTGAAAAGTACTTCACACTTTCCAAGTTCAGATTTCACCCTACTCGGTGAATGACATCTGGTAGCTGCTGTGTGATCTATACAAAACCAGTCAGAGTGTGTACATGCCTTATAACAAGAGACATAATGACTAACTCATGTATTTGTTGGTTTTGACTGATGAGATAGAGGTCTAATGGACACTGAAACCCAGCCAACATCTTTTCTCATCATTTTTGATTTCACTGTCAGTCAGCACTGACAAGTAAATCATGCTACTTACAGTGCATAAGAATGACAAAATAATCTCATTCATGATGAATACTCACTGGAACATCAGTGGATGATCTTCTGTTTGGGTAGAATTTGATTTAAGAAAAGCAGTGATGAATATTTGGGTTTGTTTTTTGCAGACTGAACCTGATTTTACTCCCATGAAACGCTGGATTTCTATGGTCACAGAGACGCTCTTTAGTATTGTGAATAGCCGCTACCAGCCCAAAGGTCCAGTCTTCCCATGGTTCTACCAGGTATGTGTTATGGTATTAAAGCCAAGGGGATATATCTATATTTCATACCTGGAGCTCTAATCATGAAGTTTCCTGGTTCTGCTTGCATTGTAGTAGTTGTAATAGATGAAAATAAAAAATTTTCTTGCCTTCGTTCTTTTTCTTTCATTTTTCTTTCATTCTTATATTTGTGTTTGTCTTGAGTTTTTGTCTTTACTACCAAAATAGTAAAAGCCACGTGGAGAATGAAATTTCAAAACCACAAGAAGTCTTCAAAACCTCAGATGCTCAGCAATGTGAAACCTTCTAATACGAACAGTCTCTTCTCAGACCACACTGTCAAACTCTTGAGTGATTCTCATACCATTTCTTAGGGCTCTGAAATGCATACTTTCTCAAAATTTAATAGTTATGGAGCTAATGATTCTTAGTTTACAGTACCTTTTGAACCTCATGGGGCAAGTAGAAGTTGTATCACATGTGCTTGTAGTCTGATAACCAGCCTGAAATTCTCAAGCCACTTAAGTGTTAGGCAGTTCGTAAGTAGGTCCTGGAGATGGAAAGCTCAGTATAGACCATAAGGCATAGGTATTGCTAGTTCTTGACTATTTGTGGTCAAATGACCGACTTAGAGATTCTTTGTGTCATAGATGCAGAAGGGAAGTTCAGTCCTAAAAGGCCAAATACCAACCTGCTAGCGCATTGAATGATTTTTAACTAGAACTTCAGTGCAGTTCATGAACTGCATTCAGTCCAGTAGTGAGATTCTAGCATCAAAAAGCTGCAAATTACTGATAGAACTGAGTTAGCTTTGGTATGTGACCCCTGTCATCACTGATATGGGGACATAGGTCACCAAATAAATAACTGCTGGACAGGTTGGACATAAGATTCAGCGTTTGGTTGGCACTAGCAGTTCTTGATGAACTGTTTGGTGATTCCTGCCTTAGAAAATAATGCTGTTTAAAATAGGGGATTTTGAGATGTAACAGTCTGGGATCCACTAAAATCCACTCTTTGAAAAAACCCACTATGCTTGTAAAATTCAAAGACACGCAATAGAAGTCACTGTCTTGCAGAGTGCCTTGCATCCTGATGGGTGTTTTTTGTTCTTTTCAGAGTTGCATGTGGAAGTAGATAAATATACATTAGGTTATTACTTACAATCAGTCCATTGCTTTGTAAGTAGAGATAGCTGTATGGATGTTACCTTTCAAAGTGGAAAGAAATTAAAAAACTTTGTAAGGGATCTTTCTGCTAGAAAACATCTCTACTGGTTATCACAGAATCTCAGAATGGGTCAGGTTGGAAGGGGCCACAGTGGGTCATCTGGTCCAACCTCCCTGCTCAAGCAGAGTCACCCTAGACGACATGGCACAGGATTGCATCCAGGAGGTTCTTGAGTATCTCCAGTGAGGCAGAATCCACAACCCCTCTGCCAATCTGTTGCAGTGTTTGCTAATCCACACAGTAAAGAAGACCTTCTTCATGTTCATGTGGAATGTCCTTCCATTGGTGTCTAACTGTTGCCTCTTGTCCCATTGCTTGGCACCACTGAGAGGAGCCTGGCCCCACCTTCTTGGCACCCTCCCTTCAGATACATACATTAATGAGGTCCCTTCTCAGATGTCTCTCCTCAAGGCTGAGTAGCCCCAGATCTCTCTGCCTTTTCTCATAAGAGAGATGCTTCATTCCCCTAGTCATTTTCGTTGCCCTCCACTGGGCTCGAGTTGAGGAGCAACATGTCTCTCTTGTACTGTGGAGCACAGAACTGGACACAGCACTCCAGATGTGGCATCACCAGGATTGAATAGAGGGCCGGATCACCTCTCATGACCTGCTGGCAATACTTTTTTTAATGCATCCTGGAAAACCACTGGCCATGAGGGCACACTGCTGGCTCATGGACAGCTTGTTGTCCAGCAAGACCCCCAGGTCCTTCTCCACAGAGCTGCTCTCTAGCAGGTCAGCTCCTGGGCTATACTGATCCCTGGGGCTGTTCTTCTCCAAGTGCAGGATGTGTATTTGCCATTGTTGAATTAGACAGTTTTTCTCTGCCTATCTCTCCAACCTTTCAAGGTCCTTCTGAAGGGCTGCACAGCTCTCTCAGGTGTTGGCCACTCTTCCCATCTTTGTGTCATTAGCAAACTTGCTGAGGAGGCACTCTGTCCCTTCGTCCGAGTCATCAATGGATAAGTGGAACAATTCTGGGCCCAGTATTGACCCTTGGGGTCACTACTAGGGACAGTCTTCCAACTAGATCTGTGCCGCTGATGACAACCCTCTGGGATATGGCATTCAGCCAGTTCTCAATCCACCTCACTGTTCACTCACCTAATCCTCACTTTCTGAGTTTGCATGTGAGGATCTTGTGAGAGGGTATTAAAGGCCTTGCTCAAGTCAAGGTAGACTGCTCTCCCCTCATGCATCCAGGTAGTTGCCCCATCATAGTAGGCAATCGGGTTGGTCATGCATGATTTACCTTTAGTGAATCCAGGCTGATGACTCGTGATCACCTTCTTGTCATTTATGTAGATAGATAAGGCCTCCAGAATGAGGCGCTCTGTTGCCTTTCCAGGGATTGAAATGAGGATGAGTGCCTGGTAGTTCTCTGGGCCCTCCTTCTTGCCCCTTTTGAAGACCAGGGTGACATTTGGCTTCTTCTAGTCCTCGGACACCTCTCCTGATCACCATAATCTTTCAAAGATCAATGTGAGCAGCCCAGTTAAGGTGTCTGCCAGTCCTCTTAGCACTCCTGGATGCATCTCATCAGGACCCATGGATTTGTGGATGTCAGGATTGCCTAGGTGTTCACTAACCCAATCCTCCTTGATCAAGGGAAAGTCTTCCTTCCAAAATTCCTTTGCCCTGGTCTCCTGGGTCAGAGATTTCGGTGGGATGTTCTTGACAGTGATGGCTGATGCAAAGAAGGCATTCAGTATCTCTTGTGTCCTCTGTTACCAGGGTCCCCTTCTATTTAGTAGCAGGCCCACATTATCCTTATTTACCATTTGTTATTGATGTATTTGAAGAAACCCTTTTTCAGGTCCTTGATGTCCTTGGCCAGATTTAATTCCAGATGGGCCTTGGCCTTCCTTGTCTCATTTCAGTTATTCTGACAACCTCTCTGTATTCACTCCAAGTGGCCTGACCCTATTTCCATCTACTGTGTATTTCCCACTTACACTTGAGTAATGACAGGAGTTCTTCATTCATCTGTGCAGGTCTCTTGCCCCCTTTGCCTCATTTCTTGCTAATCTGTAATGATGAACAAGATGGGCAAGTCCTGCAAGGTCTTGCAGGTCTTATTATATTTTGTCATTCTAGGTGTGGTGTGTTTAAGGTACTTCTTTTTCCAGCTTGCTAAATTCTTGCTGTGTTATACTTAGAGATCATTAATGTCTTGTCATATGACTGCAACTTGTGCCCTTGGTCCATATTACAGTTTTCTGAGGTCAGTCTTCTTTACTTCCCTTCTGGGGTCAATCTTCTTACATGACATGCTGTACTTTTTAGTTCAGCTTTTGCCTTAATTCTTTGTGATTCTTTGTGTCTGGTTTCTGTTTGCTCTTCTGATAATGCTGCTGGATATTTTAACAAGGAATGTGAAAACTAATGTACACCAATGTATTTATGTGCTGATTAGCTGTTAAATTCTACTTGCATCCTGCCTTATAATTTGTTTAGTTTCATACTTAATAATCTTATTTACACTTAAAAATTACATTGCCCTATTTTTAAGCTGCTTACAAGGTAAGCCAAATGGAAAAGTTACCATAAGCAGTTCCCTGAAATACTATTTATTGTCAGATTGCAATGGATCTGTGCTGCAGTTTGCTGAATAGGTATTTGTTTCCTTCCCGCAAGAGGAAAATGAAATTATTTTTTGTGTTTTTATCTAGAAATCTTATTCAGGTGAAAACACTGCTAGTATTATAGCTCGTTCCTGTGCAGCCATGGCTTTGTCTCTCCTGGTGCCAATTTTCATTGTATCATGCAAGGAAAAGGTAGAGGAGGTCCTGAATATGCTGACTGATAGGTTGCCTGGGAAACCGAATGCTGATGAGTCTCAAGCTGTTCAAATCCACATGGGCCTAGGTTTGGGGATGTTTATATCACGTTTGTATGAAGAAAAAGTCAGGTAAGGATTATCGTATGTAATGTAGCTGTGCAAATAACTTCCTTTCTCCTGCGTGTGGCCTTAATATTCTGAGGAATTAAAGTATTTATAAATCAGCAAATGATTCTTGAGGGCTTTGAAATGTTTCTTAATAGGTGACTTTTATTATCAGTCTTCATCCCCAACCCCACCCCTCCCAGAGCTATCCTGGGTATTTTGTCTGTCTTTCAGCATATATGATTCATTTTCATCATATCCTAATGTCCACATGCAAAGCAGTCAGCTAGAAGAGCCAAACATGCATAAGGGGGACTAGCTGCCCTAGGAGACTTAATTGTAAAGTAATTCACAGTTCTCATCAGTCCCTAAGTGGTGGTCTAGACACTGGGTAGTGTCCACGTAGATCATGCAAGTTACATATATGGGGATAGAGCTGCAACAAGAAGTGGTGTGATGGACTTTCTTTAAAGCATGCTGTAACATCTGTGTTGGCAGCACAGACATGTTCTCAAGTTGGTACAGAAGAGTTGGCCTCAGCTGCAAATTTCTAATGATTCCAGAGAAATTAAGAAGCAGTTTTGGCCTTATACTCCTCCAGTTTCTTGACTGCTAGGGATTCTGTCTTCCTATATACCCATAATAAATGTTTATTTGATGCGCAAGCACAGGTATCACACAGATTTGACTGGAAGTTGTTAATTTGCTCAGTGAAACTAATGTTTCCAATGCACCTGCTTTTGTTAAAACATTTTGCAGCTTTGCTCAGTTCAAGTCTTCATGCTTTGGTGTCTTCATGCCTTGCTGCCATTGACTCAGCCATATAATTCAGGAATGAACTGTCTGGGTGGTTAGTCAGTGGTGATAACTCAGCTACACACAAGCATTAAAAGGCTCTTGAAGACAATGAACCTAGATCAGTCTGGTATTTTGGAGTATGTGAATCTTTATTTGGAGGGGTTGGGTTTGTTTTGTTAGTGAGGGGCACTGAATACATTTATCTAACCATTTCTTATGGTCTGTTTTTACTCTTCCACTGCCATGCATAATTCACAAGCTTAATCCCATTCATTCTTCAAAGCATTGGCTTGCAACAACAGGAAAACTCTGAGGGGTATAGCTATAGCTAATATCCGGTCCTAGAGTTTGATTAAGGATTTCTGTTCATTAGGAAAACTGTGTGCATATTTTATAAGAAGGAAGTCCCTATGACACCTTTGGAGTGAGATGTAAATGCTTTTTATCAATAAATTACTTAATGAGATAGAGAGATTTACAAAGCTAATAGTTTGAAATGTCACAAATTTTCAGCTTATTAATAGTTGCAGGTCTAGATGAGGTCATGTTTTTTTTGTATCCTCCTCTCGCTGGAAGTCATTGGATTTTCTTTGTTTGGTCTCTGTTTTGTTTTTGCAGTGATGTACCTGGTCAACAGATGAACTTGGTTCTGATGAAGTCCCTAGATGTGCTGGAAGAGTGCTGCTTTGACACTAGTCTGGAGTACAAGTAAGTTTCCTTCATTACTGGTGATATTTTATTTTAAGCTCCATCTTTTTAACTCACAGTTTTATTTCTTAATTCTACACAGAAGAGTATAAGGATGGCATAAGGAGACAGCCTGTTCGGAGTACTTCTGTAGAATCACCAACTCATGCAGGCTGGAAGGACCTTTGGAGGTCCTTTCAGTAGGAGGTCGTGAGTCTAAATCAGACTCAGTCATGGACTTGGGCTATGCTGCCCTAGGCTTTACAGTCAGGGTTTGAAACCCCCAAGGCTGGAGATAGCACGATGTCTCTAGACCTTGGCTCTACTTTTGGTCTGCCCTTAGCTCCATGTGAACAGCTGATGTTTCAGCCTGTGCCCACTGCCTCTTGGCCTCCCACCATGTAAGAGCCCAGACACATCTCCTCAGTTCCTTCTTCTCAGTGCTTGAGATGCTGCTGGATGCCCCTCAAGCCCTCACTTCTCACAGCTGAACCTGCTGTGGCCCCTCAACCTCTGCTCTCAAGGCAAGGACTCCTGACTAGCTGCCTTTGTAGCCTTCCATGAACTTCTTTGAGTTTTGTTGGTGTCTTTCCTGCATTCAGAGTAGTGCTCCAGGTGTGTTGGTGAGCACAGAGTAGAGGAGAGGGATTATCCTTCTCCTACTGCTTATGGCTGCATCCTGCTCATGCTGCCTGCTCACTGCTAGCCCTCATTGCTGCCTGGGTGCATGTCTGGCCCCAACTCAGCTTGCTGCCTAGGAGCCCACCTGGTCCCAGCCAGTTTCGAGGTGCAGGACTGTGAGTTTGTGCTTGTCAGAATGTTCTTGATGATTTATTCCTCTGTGTACCATCTCTTCTAAGTGAGTGCGTCCATAAATAAAGTATATCTATAACACTTTATATATGAGCATGTGTGTGTACGTGCATATATCTAACATACGTACAGTTTTTTCCGCACAGTGTGAGGTGAAAAGAAGTAATGACTGTCACTGCTAATCTCTGCCAACCCACAAGTAAAAGCCTTGGGCTTGTATAAAGAATCACACAATCTTGCTCACAGACAGTGGGAAGATGCCAGCAATTCTAGGGGCAGAGTTGCTCGTCTTGCCTGCATGTGTTCATTAATTAAAGGTTTTTTGAAAGTCCTTCCTTGGTGCTCTTCAGGAGGTTGCTGAGGTGTTGAATAAAGTCTGCCTTTATGTTGGGGTCTGTCACTGGAATGTACAATTGTGTGCAATACAGTGTGAGTTCCAGGAGCAGCTGACTTACATGGCAAATTTATCTGGGAGAGCCAGGCCATTAATGTAACAGCTGTGGGTGGTATGTTGAATACCAAGTAAAACTAATATATTTGATTTAACTAACTGAAGTTATGCCTCAGATATCCCAAAGAGAGGGGTGACCCACCAGCAAGGCAAGAAATTGTTGAAAGGCATTGCACAATTACTGTAATTGGCAAACCTGGAATCATGGAACAATAAACCACAAGTGAAGATTGCCATTAGACAGGATAACTCTTTTGTATATTTCTTGCACAGTAATCATTTCCCTTTCATATCAGGGAAGAAACTGCAGTATCTTGAGTGCCTCAGTGTGGATGCATAGGGATTTATTTGATTTTGAGCATTTCTCTACCCAGCTCTTCCCTGCTCAACGGAAACAGCAGTAATTCCCATTTGCCTTTGCCCTCCCTTCTCCAGTGGACTTTCTGAAAAGCTGTGAGGAGTCACAGCTGTGCACCATTGAGCTGTGAAGCTGTACAGCTTAGCGAGGATTTGCATTGCCTCTTGAGCAGCAGAGGGTGAGACATAAAGTGCACAGGGGCTGTACCAGCTGCTCCCCTTTGTTATACCTTGTGTAGCCTGTTAACTGGAGATCAATGCCTCATAGAAAAGCCAAGCCAGACTTCTCTGGCAGTAAGAGGTTGTATGGCTCAATCATTAATTTCATTATTTTTGCAAACTGGAACACCTCTTGTAGTAGTCTGACAGCAGCAGATCCTACTACACCCAGTGGACTTGTGATTAGTATGTTTAACTGGAATATCAGTTTATGCTGTCAGAATAAATCCCACTTAGAAGTTTGGATCCGTATTTCCTTTATACTAGTTGCTATGCTTGTTGATGGGGCTATGGATTCTTCAGGGGAAGAAGAAATAATGAGGCTGTATGTGAAGGATTGATTATTTAAATGCACATTTTCTTCTTATGCTCCTCTTTGATCCTGAGTTTCTTGAAAAGCATTTGTGAAATAAAACCTATTTGTAAAACTGGCCGTGGTAATTGTCCACCGGGCTAGTTATCAGGCAAAGCCAAGACGTGTTCTTGCCCAGCAACCCATGCTGGGGTTTAAAGAGAGTCCAGAGCAGCCAAAACATATTAATTCTTTTTCTTTTGTTTTCTCTTAAAGCACTGGATGTATTTTAGGAGTAGGACTTGCTCTTTCATTTATGAGTCACAGTAGCCAAACAGAATCACGAGTGCATGTTTCTGCTTCATTGCGAAAACTCTGCAAATACCTGGACAGCAGTGAGGGCCAAAGCAGATCGTTCCAGGAGGTATGGCCTATTTTATCATAAATTTTAAATCTGCCTTTTACTTTGTTGCTTCCCTTTAATATCTATAGTCTTTTTACTGAAGCTTTATATCCGTAGTACTGGAATGCTCAATTTCTGTTCTTTCTTTCACAATGTATGAGTTTATAACTGCTTAATAAAACAATAATAATAATAGTAAAATAGCCTGTAGTGCTGCATAAACATTAAGAAACTGCCTGGAAAGATTCCCCTCTACTCTGCTCTGGTGAGACCCCACGTGGGATACTGTGTGCAGTTCTGGTGTCCTCAGCCTAAGAAGGACATGGAACTCTTGGAGCAAGTCCAGAGGAGGCCATGAAATTGATAAGAGCACTGGAGCATCTCCCCTTGTGAGGACAGGCTGAGGGAGTTGGTGCTGCTCAGCCTGGAGAAGAGAAGACTCCATGGAGACCTCATAGCAACTTTTCAATATCTGAAGGGCCTACAAGGGAGCTGGAGAGGGACTTTTTGTTAGGAACTGCAAGAATAGGACAAGGGGTAATGTATTCAAAATGAAGGAGGGGAAGTTTAGGTTGGATATTAGAAAAATGTTTTTTACTGTGAGGGTGGTAAGACACTGGAACAAGTTGCCCAAGGAAGCGGTGAATGCCCCAGCCCTGGCAGTGTTCCAGACCAGACTGCATGAGGCCTTGAGCATCCTGGTCTAGTGGGGAGGTGTCCCTGCCCATGGCAGGGGAGGTTGGGACTAAATGATCTATAATGTCCATTCAATTCTATGATTCTATGAACATACATAATTCTTTAAAGGGCTTCTTTAATTCCTTAGCCCCAAATTAAATTGTTGAAACTTGGGTTCTGAGTAACTGTGGGCATGGGTCTCCTATATACACTTGTTTACTGCTCATCTGATCTACTAAAAGGCAGGCAGCGAGTGACTCTGAGAGAACCTTAATGCTGATGCTTCCTCCTTCAATATGCCTTCTGTTTCCTTGTTTGAAAGCTGCTGTCACTAGCTAGTGTGAGTCTTGTACTTGTGAATGCTGCTATGTCCTCATTTTGTCTTGTTTTTCTAAGTACATTTTGAAGACTTAAAAGTGAACTCTCCTAAGTCGTAGTATGTATTTCAGGGTTTTTTTCCTCCGGATATGTCCTGTAAGTTTTGACATAGTCTGTGCACTTAGTCTGTAACTTTGTTGAGAAGGAAAATGGATGGAATTGGAATAGTTTGCAACCGAAAACAAGAATTGGAACAAGCAGGTGTTTTGCCCCAAAAAAGCAACCCTGTCTGTATATGATGTATTTAAGCCTGCAGCAGCTGAACAGCTGAGTTGCATAATACCCTGTTTTTCCTAAGAGAGTTATTAGAGATAGATAGAATTATTCTCTTCCCCCTCTTGATGCTTTTCTGAAAGTGCTTTATTAAAGGTCTTCTTTTACGGAGTTTAATTCTTTGGCAGTAGATATGTGTTGGGAATTAGCCTTTTTCAGTTTATGATTCGTGCATTAAAATTACTTACAGCTATGAAATAATTTATCTGTCCCCAGAGATCTTCAAGTGCATTACTGAACTTAAACTAAGTTCAATACAGCAACTTCTGAGATGAAAGGCAGCAGCTGTTAAACATCATGAAATAGTTTGGGATGGGAAGCAAACCCTACCCTTTTCAATTAAAATCTCTGTAAGGAATTATACAGATAATTACCATGAGCAAAACTTGGCCAGCACTCTAGGATTAATACTACTGTATTTATGAGACACACAAGAGGCTCTTCCAAAATTATAAGTGACTGGGGTATAATAATGTACTTGTGAGGTAATTTTGGCCTGCTGCAGCTGGAGGTTACAGTCTGAGTTTTACTTGCTCCAAGTCAAATTGCTGTCAATCCAGAACAGTAGGTAGGTGCTCTCTGCTTCCATTATAGTCATATGTTGTTCTGCTGATTAGTCTTGATACAGAGGAGTTAAACAGTTGGTGCACTTGCCTTGCTGATAGCTCAGACTTCATTTCCTTATTCACCATGACTAAGACAGAAGAACAGAAAAAGAGTGTTGCTGGTGAATCCTTCTGCAAGGATAGGAGGCTGCTGTTACAGGCAGTGTGTTCTACAGGTCACAGTTCTACTACACGCTCATTTTCTGGCCTGGTGGACCTGCTGGTAGCCCTGATGGGATCACAGCAGGCTGAGTATGCTTACATAAATAATGATCAGATACTTGTGTTGGGGAGAATACCTATATTTGTGTGTTTACCTGTGTGAAGTCAGAAGTATTTCCAAGTTTTAGTTGTGTTTAACATTGTTATCAATGAAGAAATTTCCAGAGAGGGAATAAACATCTGAATGTATAAATTGAAAATGTTAGGTCTTTTATATCTTACTGGCACATTGTTCAATATACACATTGTTACAGTCAACTTGATCAGACACTAGTTAACAGAACTAATTTATCTTTTTTCAGGTACTTGCCTATTCTGTTGCCTGTTCCTGTGTCTCTGCTTTCAGTGATGGAATCATAGAAGCAGCTGAAGCTGAGGAGACCATGAGCAAGCTACGGACCTTAGCGGAGAAAAATCAGCAGGTAATAATTCAGTGTTGGGGCTTTGCTTCAGTTCTGGTTTTCTCTTATCTAGTTAGTATTGGATACTGCTTTACCTAGGCTGTAATTCAGGAACATTGTATTGGTCTACTTTTCTGCATTAACTAATACTGAGCGTGTTGCGCATGCCATACAATTACCAAGACTACCACTTGATTCATTGATGCATTGTCTACAGGTGTGTAGCAATTACCAGACAGTGGAATAAAAGCAGGTTTTATGTGCTTGATTCCATTTAGAAGGGAAGTTAATACTTCAAGTTCTTCATGTCTTTAGTCCTTGCATCCTACCAATTTTTGTCTCTTATAGCATGTTTCTTTAAATTTCTTTTCTTAGTAGGAAAATATATCTACTGTGCTCTTCTGAATTTTTGCTTTCCCTTAGCCCCCAGACAGTGCATCATAACCATAGCCACAGCTTCCTCCAGGTGTATGTTTCATCCCTAGTGCTCTAGGGTTACCCATGAAAAATGCCAAAATTAATTTCCATATTATAGTGCCAGTTCTTAAATGCTTGCCAGGAAATGAAGGAACTGGGGGAGGCAACAATTTTGAATCAAGGCCTGGTATTACACTGATCAACTGTTTAAATGTTTGTCTGAAAAACAGGAAGTCAAAGCAAACTACCCTTTCTTCTACAGCTTTTTATCTTCATGTCAGAAAGTCTGCTCTAAAGTAAAGACTATGTGTGCCAAAGATCAGTATTTAATCTGGGGAATCTCACGTCACTTGACATGAGAAAATAGTTGAAGTAAGAAAATGTCCAGTCTTTTTGGCAGAGACATTACTTCTAATGATTGGGAGATAATAAATGTTTTAAAAATGACAGAAACCTTTGAAAGATCTGTTTGTAATGTGTCCTTTTTACCTTACAGACCTACAGTTTTGCCTTAGCTTTAGGTACAATAGTACATGGATTGTCAGTTTGCGGTCATGGGAAAGCTGAAGACCTGAGTAACAGACTAATGCCAGCCTGGATAAAGATAGTGCTTGCAGAGGTAAAGGAGTTTGAATTCATATCTGGGTTTTGTACTTGTTGGGTTTTTGGGTCTTTTTTTTTTGTTTTGGGGGGAGGGGGTGGTTTAAAATTAACTGTAGGGACATATAATTTTCCTTGATTCTACAGGAGTGATGCTAGGAAAAGTTATGACTATCTGAACATGCTGTTTGATTGGTATTTGGAGGCAAAAATATATTTTTGGACAGCTTCTTAAAGGGGAAAAAAACCTTGTTTCTTTTCTGCTTTGATGGTTTATGAGAAATGCTTATCTCAATGAGATCTTAATTTGGACATTTTTAAAAATTTGGAACAATGTCCAAGAATAAAATCTAGATTATTAAATGGAGATGCCTTGTGAAATTAGGTGCTGCTTATCAAAATCAGACTAAAAGAATGGTGATTGTAGTGCCTTAGTTGTTACGATAATTTTAATTTATCTCATTACAAAAATTAAGTGTTTGCATCAAACTCTAAACTTACACATTAAGATTGCAGCTGAAGGTAAGTATCAATAAAGAAACAGTGTTTCAGAGTTGAATTGCACTGGCAATATTTTCTGAAATACAAACTGTGCTAGGAAAAAAAGTGATTCGTCAATCCATGATGATTTCAGATCTGGGGTGGAGGGAGGGGGATCCCATTTAAAGCTTTCACTCACCAAGAGAGGAATGAAAGTTACCTACCATGCTGGAGTCCAACTTGAAAAGGCTGTTGGGATGAGAGGTGTACAAGTGATAGTAGTCACGATTTATAAGTTGGAAGAAACAAGTATATTGTCCTACAGTAGTGTTGTTGACTCACTGTTCCTGAATTATGCTTCCAGGGTTCTCCAACAATGGAACGTCTGGCTGCTGTCAGTGGGCTGGTCTCGCTGGTGGGCTCTGAAGTAGGCATGATACAGGTGAGTACATGCAAGCATGTACCTTGATCTCATGGAGAAATTTGGCTGGAAGGCAAGATGTAGTGCATCCTTTCCATTCTTACAGCAGTGGTTATATACCAGGGCATTACATTTATGCAGTATTAAGTCATGTTGGGTATGAACCAAGTGATAGAGAACTGCAATGGACAAAATGGAGTCTGTGTCTTTTTCCCATCATATGTGCAGTGCCATTGGGGAAAAGTTTGCAGCCATGTAAGCTTTCTGCTTTTCCACTCCCCCACAAAAAGGCATGTGTGCAAATGTAATCTGTCTTTTCAGCACCTGCTCCCTGTTTTGTTGTTTCTTTTTTTTTTTCTAAAATTTACTTTTTTTTTTTCCTCTGGCAGCTGAAATCTGAGAGTGTTCAGTCCTCACAGTTTCAAAGTAAGCTGAATGAAGTCATCAGAACCCTTACACAGGTAAGAAGATACCCTGTGTTTCCTGCTTTGGATAATGCTCTAGGGTGCTGTGACACCTTTCACAAACCAGCCAAAGCTGTTAAAAGAAACTACATAATGTCTGTGTTCCGCTTGAATGAGGAACAGCAGGGAAATTTGTCTACCTAGTGGTTTATTGTCTCAACAGATAATTAGTCTCTCAGAGCAGGTTGGCCTTCAGACAAATGCAGCAGGACTTCTGGGACGCCTTCACATGTCTTGTTTGTCTTCTACTCAGAACAGGGTATCTGGTAAGCTGCTTTGTTATTGCTGCTTAAAGACCTTGTAGAAATAGCACATCATAAAAAGACAGGGACACATTAATTAATACAGGCTAGACATTGCAGCCCTGTTAAGTGACATGGCAGTGTTTGAATCAGACATGTCATGGTCCAGTATGCCAGACCTGTAGGTTGGAACATGAAGCAGGAATCAGTGTGTTGAGTAGGATGCCCCACATCTGCTTTGACTTGCAGTATCCAAGTAAGGTTCTAAGTTGTTCTGGTCGAACTTGTATATTGCTTCATTTTTTTTTGTTTGTTTTTAAATCAACTGTAAAGAGGTTTTACACTGCATATGGCATATGGGTTTGACTTCTGCATTATCCACTCCATGCCATGATAACTGATTAGTCTATTCTGTTTTAGCACTTCCCATTGTATAAAAAAGTCAGTACTTAAAAACGAGTCCATAACAAGAACAAGCTGACTTACTAGAAGTATTTTTTCTAGAAGAGATCTTCTCTGGTTAGCTGAAGTTAAAAAAGTAGTAATCTGGGCTGTTTCGGCATAGCAGTTAGCACAGAAACTCATATTCTGTCGATATATCATTACCTTGTGGTGTTGTTTCAATATCCATTGGTAAAATAAAGGCAGGATTACATATCTGATGAAATACCAATGCTAGGAGCAAACTAATGAAATGGAAGCTGTTCACTTCTGTGTGAACTAAATTGAGAACCAATAATACAAGAGGTAGATAAACTTCCTTATCACAGTAAAAAAAGTTCTCAGAGCTTCTGAATTTGTATAATCTTAGCATGCTCACCTGAGGTTAGATCCATAGGGAATGTCTCTGTTGTATTAAGCATACCAAGATTTTGAAGCTCTCCCTTTTAAAGTCTGCCTTGCAGTGCCCAATATATTTTGAAGGAAGTTCTTATCCGTGGCTTTTCAGTTGGTTACTGAGCTTGTTTTTTTCAAACCTGGCACCTCACACTAATAAAATGTTTAGCTTGCCTTAAAAGTGTAAAGGCCAATGCGTCTATCAGTTCTGTGATCTAAGTGTTTTGAGTCAGCTACAGAACTAGTTAGCTCAAACATAGCTCAAAATAGCCTTTAAATTTACATGGGAGAAGATGGCTAATAGTTTTTGCTGATGTGTTCTAGAATTCAAATGGTCTTTTTGTCTTCACAGTCCCTCCAGATTTTAGGTACTTACCTGTAAACAGCTTTATCAGAGCAGCCATTGACTTTGCCATTGAAAGTGGAAAGAAAGGTAAGCAAGAATCAAACTATATTATTCCTCAGGAACTTTGTTATGACTATAAAAGGTGATGTTAATGACCTGCTTTTATTTGCTAAGAGAACTTTTCTAAATACTAATTCGAACTTCACTAATGTGGGATATTTAAATAAAAAATCAAGTAATACCCAAAAAGACAAGATAGAATTGTGTAGTTAGGGCTTTAATTTTCTCCATTTAATTTTTATGGCTTTTAAAATCCTTTACCCTTCCTGCTTTGTCTCTGAGTTGATGCTGTCTTCTTCCCTGTGGGAATGAAAGTCAAATCACTTTAGGAGTTAGCTTGTATCCATGGGAATATTCCATCATCAGACAAACTTTATGCTGCCCCTTATTTCAGTGATCCTATGTTAAGATTCTCTGTTACAAAGTGGTATTCAAACAGGTTACTGCTGCGTATCATAAATCCAAGGGAGCCTGAAGAAAGTATCCTCTTAAATGAGGAAGGCTGGTAAAGATAGATCTCTTGGAATACAGTCTTTAAGGGGGATAAAGCAGCAGGGCTTATTCCTGTACAGAGCAAAATGAGCTCACTTGTGTCCTATGAAGCAATCTTTGTTTTAAATGGAGGTAAAAATTGCCCATGCTTTGCCTCCAGAAGGACTCAGTTAACTCGCTGTGTTGAGGTAACACATTATGTAGAGATGGTTAGTACAAGTGTGCTGGTTTTTGTGGCCTGCACCTACAGGATGAGGAAGAAGAGCAGTGTCAGAAAACTTTGCTGTTCTCACCGTAACAAATGCAAAAATACTACCTTACTAGATAAGGAATAACAAGATAAACAAGAGATAGCTAATTCTCAGATGCAAAAAGGAAAGGGATTTTACAGTGCTTTTCATTTCTTCACTACAGCTTGAACTTCAGTGCACTGTTCACATTTTTTTGCTGAGCTATTCAGCCAAATGTGTGTGTGTGTAAAGTTCAGACTCTCAATGAATCTGTTTCTAGGACCTGAATCTGTCCCAGCTGAGTTGGTGAAAATAGCACTGACACCCATTGCATTAGTTGGAGAAAGCCACCAGTATCCACCTGTAAACTGGGCATCCATTCTTTCACCTTTGATGAGGCTAAACTTTGGTAAGAATAATAGTTTTCTGTTAAGTCTTTTGTGCTTGTCACAAAACTTCTTTATTTACACAGCTTTCATAAACTTTAGGGTCCACTTTGGGGCTTGAAGTTGGTGCAGTGATTAAAGTGTTTACTATGCTTTCAAGACCAGCTTTTAAGTGTTTGCAAGCATGTATTTGTGATCACCATGTGGACGCTGTTTTAACTCAAGAAAAGACTGAAAAAGATCAGACCTGAGCAATTTAGAGCAGTGTTGGCAGTTCCCTGAAACACTGGCGAAACTGCCCTGAATTTTGCATTGCAGCTGTTTACAGTAAGAAGACCCATCATGAAACCCAACTAATTGTGTCTTATTTTCAATACCCTCTAAATGCTTGGTCCAGTGTGCATGTTAGAGGCTGCAGGCAGCTTTGTCACACATTTCAACTGCTTGGCAGTTCATCTAGGTATCCCTAGTTTGAAATACTCTCTCTACTAAATTACACTGTGTGACAGTTTTAAGAATAATTGAAAGTCCTTATGAATGATTGAAACTTGTTAAATGTATGGGGGAATTTTTTTATTCCTATTTTTTACTTAGGAGTCTTCGTTTTATAAATCAGGGCATTTCCAGAGGCAACAGTACATTTGTTCTGTGGCTCTTTTTAGACTTCAGAAAGCACCATTGTCTACAGTTTCTCGTGACCACCCCCCTGTAGTGTTGTGCAAGTTCCACACCCTTCTCTAGATTATATGTGCATTCAGAAATAGATCTTGCTTTGTGCTAGTGAGCAATATTCATGTTGTACTAGAAAGTATAATGCAGAACAGTTGTATTATGGCCTAACAGTCCACCTAGAAATGTGGTACTCTTAACACTTTTCTTGAAACAGCTGTATTATGAATATTTTTATGAAGGTTAGACTACATGCTCAATTCTGTTGAATACTCTACACTTACTCATATCTGAGAATTCATGACTGGTTTCGTGAACCTTAGATGTTTCAGATTCTGCTGTGAAGATCTGTTCATCTGTAAACATAGGGAAGACAACAGATTGCTTTCCCATCTTACAGGGTTTATTGCAGTTGTTGCTGAGCAGAAACATGTAGTGTGATTGAAGTAGTATGTGTTTCTTGTTCAACAGTGCTCTGAAATGAGCAATCTTAGGCAAATCATGTGTTTTATGCATCATAAGACTATGTCTTAGCAATTTAAAAGTTTTTAATTGGTTACCAGACTATCTTGTTAAAATTTCACCTTATCAAGCTCTGCAAAAGATTTACTTCCTGCATAAGATAGTTTATTTAGAAGAACTTGACACTAAACTCTTAAGTCTTTGCTTTGTTCATGCACTAATAGTAGTGAACTTTATAAAGTCATGCTATATTGGTTGCCTCTTTCATTACTGAAAGAGCATTTTAACTTGCTAAGCACCTATTTAAGCTTTATGCTGACATTTAACAGTAATGTATCTTCTGTCTGATGGGTCAAGTGCTAGTGTAGTACTTAAATTGTTTGTCCTTAATGTTGCTCTAGCCATCATGAGCTCTGTGAAAGCCATGCCGTTGCTCAAAGTACCTCTTAATCATACTTATGATTAGTTACTCTGTTAACTTACTCCCTTATGGGGACTTTAAAGAGAAACCAATAAGGATTCCATAACCATCATAACATCTATGCAGAGTAAGGTCTTCCCACATGTTAACCTGGAAAGTGTCGCAGCCAAGCACCCACAGCAGCAACAGTGGCTCGACTTTGTCTGTGACATACTATGTGAACATGGGGTACATGGAAGAGTAGAAACGTGTGAACAAATGCTAATTACTCCTACACTTAACAGGAAGGAATATTGACTCATTTTTCCTTCTGTGGATTAAATCTTAACTTAGAAATTCAGGTTTATTTATTTTTTACTTTTCTTACCTTCCCAAATTTTTGTTCTTGAGTGAATTAAAATACCTGGATTTCTGAGATTTCTTGCTGGAAGTGCATGAATGGGAAGAGGAGTCTTCTAACACATGTGTGTTTAAAAGCTTTAAGTAGCATCTCTAGAAAAATAAGTTGTAATACAATGCTGTAGTAGGACAATAGCTCTCCTTTATTTTATGAGCTGAGAACACATTTAAAGGGAAAACAATTTATTTGTAACTTAGGTTTGTTTTATTCTGTTGTAGGTGATGAAGTAAAACACCTCTGCATTCAACTGGCTGTGACACAGGCCCAGTCATCTCAAAATGCAGCAATGCTTTTGGGGATGTGGGTGGCACCTCCCCTTATCTACAGTCTCAGTGTATGTATGTCAGAAAACTTGTGGGACCTCAACATCTCATTCCTATAAAATTTCTTAGTGGTAATGTTTAGGATGGCTTGCCAGAAAAGGATGACAGGGTTAAGAATTCTGCAGAAATACTGTTTGAGAATTATTTATAGTGAGAGGAAGGTTCTTTGGGGGCCTTGAAATTCAAAGCAGACTTAAGCTCTGCGGCATTGGTTTTACTTAGATTTGAGTTCACAAAATGAGGTCAGCCACAGTGTGTGTAAGTTTTGCATTTCTTGCATGCAATTATTCATTATTCCTCACAGCTAGCAACATTAATGATTCTATGACTACCATACTTCTGTCCTTGGCTGTCTAGACAGTCTGTATGCTTTACATAGGGATGCAGTGGTCACCATGTAGTAAAATTGTTCTGCCTGTAGGGTGATGTGAGATTCAGGGTTCATTGAAAGTAAGCTCCTCAGTTCTTAAAGAAAACAGTATATTGACATGTTTGCACTCCTTTTAATTCAAACAATTCATCAAAAGAGGGAAGAATTGAGAAGTATATATGACTTTTAGTGCTTTCCTAGGTAGTGTTCAAACCACTATTTTTATAATTTCATCCTTAGTAACAATAATTCGAGGTCAGTGAAGAGCTAAAATCTGAAACTGAGCAAAGGTTTTTCTTTTTTAGATGAAAACTCAGAAATACCTGTTCACATCCCTCTCCCTGTGGATGCAGCATGTTGCAGAAGACAAACTGCAGTCTTTTACAGAAGTGCTTCTGATACGACAATTTGAGATGAAGAACGGCACAACAAACCCAGAAATTTGCCAGTGTGTTTTACAGGGGCTCATCCAGGCAATGAAACTTCCCAACCCTGCCCAGTTTTGCTGGAGCTTTTTGTGCCAGGCTGTGGAGAAAATATATGAGCTTCTTCCAAATGAGGTTCAGGTAAGGAATGAAGTGTATGAGAACATTGTAACCAGACATTTTTACTGATGGTGAACCCCATCTTTTTGCACTGACCCATCAGGTTTGAAACATGAAGATGATGTACAATTTTGATGAAACCAATCTAATGTACACTTCTCCCTCATAAATGGTTTGGTAATAGAAAAAAACAGTATTAATAAAATGTGGTATCAATATTAATTGAAGCATAAACAGAGAACAGTCATAAGGCTTCTTTTTCCCCCCGACAGAGGATTCAGGTTCTCACAGTGATTTAAAGAAACTGTCTAGCTACAGAATATACCTCCAAGGAAGGGCTCTTTTTCATTAAAAATAGAACGAACTCTTTGAAAGTTTTCAAATACTATTATTCTTGTATAATGAAGTGCATGGAATTCCCCAGCAAATACCAGATTTCTAAAATAGATTAAGTAAAATGAGGCTAGAGACTAGATTAATTATTTATCAGTAACAAAGCTTCTAGAATCCCCAATATTAATGATGAAAAAAGCTTGAAATAGACATTTCAACATGCATTTACTTTTCTTTTTGCAGAGGGGTGAACTGGAGATGTACACTGATGTAGCAAAATGTATCTCAGAAATGTCCGATTCAGAGGTTGATCGCATTGTCCAGTTCTCTAAGGTAACTAGGTTTTAGTTCTGATCTCTTATCACCAAATGACAGGAAACAATCATACCTTACCATTTTCACTGTCACCAGACTGTTGTAGCTGATTGGGGGCATTAATTGTTTTATCTGCCATGCAAGTAAGAGTGTTCTGGCACTGGCAGGCAGCCAAGAGAAGCAGAAGTGGTAAGAACTCATATCCCAAACTTTCTCAAGGCAACTGAAATACTACTGATTTCACCAGGAAGCTTTGAACTGGAGAGGCTTAAGTAACTTGTTCAATTTCAGGAAGGACTCTGTTAGCAGAACAGGAATGGTGTTAGGTCTGCCAAATCCCGGACCATTGATGCAAACAGCAGACCATAGTCCTCTTTGGTGAACATAACCACCTACCTGAAACAGACTGTAAATGCATCCTGGTGACTAGCTGTCCTTGAAGAGGTGGATCCATGCTTATGTTAAAAATAGGCAATCATTGACTGAACAACCTTTCATTCTTGACTTTATATGCTATATTCTACACTTAGAGTGTATCCTCGTGGATAAGATGACTAACGATGATGATGGAATAGAATCATAGAATCATCCTGGTTGGAAAGACCTCAAAGATCATCGAGTCCAACCCAACCGTAGCTACTAGACCATGGCACTAAGTGTCACACCCAGTCTCATCTTCAAAACCTCCACAGATGGTGAATCCACCACCTCCCTGGCCAAACACCCTCTCCGTAAAAAAAATCTCATCCTAATATCCAACCTAAACCTCTCCTAGCAGAGCTTGAGTCTGTGCCCTCTTGTCCTCCTGCCAGATGCCTGAGAGAAGAGACCAACCCCCACCTGACTCCAATCTCCTTTCAGGGAGTTGTAGAGGGTGAGAAGGGCTCCCCTGAGCCTCCTCTTCTCCAGGCTGAACACCCCCAGCTCCCTCAGCCTCTCCTCATAGGAAAGCTTTCAACTTCTAGCTCACCAGTGGAATCAATTAGCAGTGGAATTCTCAGCAGCTGAAACTCTAAAGAAATGACCAGTGGTTTCAGATGAGGCTTTTTTAAGTAAACATCCATGACATAAAACCACATAGTTCTGTTACTGACAGATTGACTAGAGAATCAAGCAGTCAGAAAGGTTATTTCTGTATATTTTTTTTTTCTGATTTCCACACTGGAAAATGCCACTTGAGAAAACCTTTCTTTGTCACTGGAGTGAATCTGTCTTGCAAGAAAAATTGAGTCTCCAGAACTGTCCAGCTGGCTTATTTCATTTTAAGGTGGAATGTAAAATTTAATGCAGTATGAAAACAAAATACTGAGTTACACTTTGCTGGACTATTTAGAACAGTGTGAAGTTCTAGTAATATGCACAGTCTTTTGTTTAATAATATATCTTGAGGAAAAATGAGCCTGCTAGGTATTCAAAGCATTTCTCTCTTTTTTAGTAAAGAGAAATGCAGCATTTAATGTTCCCACAAGAGACAGATGTTTCAATTTAATGTGTTTTTTGATTGCGTTTGCAGAACAACATAGAGAAGGCCACATTCACAAAGGTGTATTTGATTTCTCAAGGAAGACTGTCTCTGATGAACTTGAGTTCCGTGATTGATACTGTGACAGAATACCACCAGAAAGAAAATATCTTATGGATACTTTTGCATAGTCTCTATCATGCTCGTATTGTGAACCATGAAAACACAGGTAAGATCAGGCATAGAGAAGAATCAACAACACGATCAATAGGTATTGATGAATCTAGATCTACGCCTTTTGAAACAGTTTTTAGATGGTTTAACCCAAGTGTTTCCAAATTTATCCATATTTGAAACCACTGTCTTCAGAATTCTCTTGTATTTAAATACTTGTATCGAACATTGGTTTTATGTTTTTCTTGAATTCCTTGTTTCCATTGTTCAACTGCAAGTCCTTTATCTCATCCAGGTGGTTTAGAGGCTACAGTTTTGACTAAATCCCTGTCTCACTCTTTTGAGACTTCCAGTGTAAGGTAGTGTTATAAATGTACATAGTACATCAGAGACCTGTAACAGTGCAACTCTGCTAACCTTCAGATCTAGTATCTGACTTGCTGGTATGTGACAGAGTAGGTGGGGGCATGTTCCTTTTGACTGATTGAACCAGGGAGATAGCTTGCTTTTCTGAGCTCCTTGCACTGAGTTAACACAGGAAACAAATTGCCCTTCTGCCTCTTCATAACCATACCAGATAGTAGCCTGGTGGGTTAATGAGTCGAGCTTTCTCAGCTGTGGGTCTGACAGAGCACTGGAGCTGATGCAAGAGAAGTAGGAGATTTACACAGGAAGATAAAGGAGGAAGAAACAATAACAGAAAGAGGCAAGAATGAGGTCTCATTTTCATGGCAGAAGGATCTTTGCATTCACAGAACAGCTTTAAAGCATTGTATTGCCGGATGCCTTAGCTGCGTGAGTTTTAACTGAGTGAAGTGAGGCTTCTTTGGGTCAAAGAAGAGGCAATATGAAAGAGGGCACATGTAAAGATTACAAGGAAATGGTAGTGTATGAAGTCATGTGGTCTCCAAGGTGAACATGGTTATTAGTTTGTAGGAGGTAGAACCGGTTATGGACAGCAGATTCTGAGTCAATGAAATGTGTTCCATCCTTGGATTGAGTTGAGGGCTGATTTTATTTGCATGTCTTGGCCATATATTACTGATCCTCTCAGCACTGTAGGAGCATTTTCACAGAATTCCCCACATTCTTGCCCAATCCCACTTGCCCATGGTGATGTCAGTGCTAGACTTGGAGGAAGTACTGGAGCAAAAACTTGATGGAGTCTCTAGGATTCTGTAGTGGTCATATGTGCAGACTCAGTAGTGGGACCTGCAGGCTGCCATACGTGAAATAATTCCCACTCAACAGTCCTTTTTCTGTGTGTTCAGTGTGTTGGCTGCATTGTAAGCTAAGTTTCTGTACTGCTTAAGGGCCCATA